CGCCGCCACGGCAGCCATAGCTGCCCCCACCTCCTCCTCCTCGTTCTCGTCCTCAGGCGCGTCGGCCTCGGCCGGCTGCCCGCGCGTCCGCTCCATCGGGTTCCGGGTCCGCCGCGCCGGCGCTCCGGCCTTGAGGTTCCGCGCGCCCAAGGTTCCGGAAGCAGGGGCAGGCAGAAGGGCCCGGGGCGGGGAGGTAGGGTCTCAACGCTCCCGCCGGGTCCGCGCGCTCTGCACGTCCCGTGCCGTCGCCCGCCTCCTCCTTGGAGCCTGCCGGGATTTACGCCCGCCGCCTCCGTACCCGCAGCCTCGGCTCTCCAAGTGTCCTCTTGAAAGCCGCTCGGATCTGCAGGTCCTCACCGAGCTTGCTCCCTTTTAAATTCTCTTGGCACTTGCTGTAGTAGATGACCTTCAGCATCGAAGGTCCTTTCATCAATTGTAATAACAAGAGCAGCTTCTCTTTACTCAGCGTTTCTATGTGCGGGACACTATCTGCTTCACACGCTGCGAGGCAGGTTTCTCCCTCATTTTACAGATGGGAAAAAAGGCTGAGAGCCCGTAAGCGACTTGTCCAAGTTCTACCGAGGCCTGAACTCTTTTCAAGATGCCAGCAGCCTCCAAAGCCCTGTCTCCCTCTGCTTCCTGACATCCATCTTGAACTCTGGACCAATTGAACTCCTCTCCTCTCCAAAAAGACACCTGGACTTGTCCTGCCAAGGCTTTATTTAGGCTATTTTTGATCCCTGGAATAGTTTCTTTTTCCTCTCTTCACCCAATGCCACCCTCTATTTCACCCCCCTGAACATGGTTGTGAGCTCCTGGGGTCAGGAACAGTGGCATCAACACCTCTGTGTCTCTCCTGCTCCCAGCACAGGGTCAGGCCTCGATTAGGCCCTCTGCGATGGCACCAATCATTTTGCCTCCATGGAAGTCCTCTCTGTCTGGGTCTTACCTGAAAGAAATCCTTCCTGAATGGTGGACCCCCAAGGGGCAGGGACAGAGCCTTCAAATCTGCTCAGTCCAGCTTATACTCATGGAGATTGGCTCTGGGCTGTGGCCTATGCTGGGAGTAGTGTGGTGGACTCAGTAAGTCCTTCGAATGTGCCAGCCTGTACATGCCTTAGGGTCGTTGTACTGGCTGATCCCTCTACTTGGATTTACACATGGTTGCCTTATCATTTAGGGCTCGGTTCACAAGTCAGCACCTACCTCAAAGGTGCTTTTCTTGATGCAATCCCCCATCCCTTATATTCTTCTCATTACATTTTTGTCTCCTCATAGCAGTTATGACTATCCGAAGTTCTTAGGTGTTTATTTCCTTGTTTGCATTAATTTAGGGAGCTTACATTCTAGTGGGGTGAGATACGATAAATATATATATCATGTTAGGTGATGATACATGCTATTCATTAAAAAAAAAAAAGAAAAAGCAGGCTAAGAGAATAGAGATATGGGATACTTGAGCAGAGACCCGAAGGAAATGAGGGAATGATGTGTATGGGTATCTAGGGGAAGAGCCTTCCAGATAGAGGAAAGACCCTGATGCAGAAGCACGCTTGCCCTGCTTGTGGAGCACCAAGGAGGTCATTGCGTGAAGGAAGTACAGGAAAGGGCAGTTAGATTGCTCAGGGTTTCGGAGGCCTTCAGCAGAGAAGTAACATGATCTACTTTTTAAAGTATCATTCTGGCTGCTGGTGGAATATGGGGCATGGGGTGCCAGGATGGAAGCTCTCTCAAGGGTGACCAGTTTGTCCTGGTTTACTTGGGACTTTCCTGGTTTTAGCATAGAAAGTCCTCAATCCTGGAAACCTCCTCAGACCCAGGCAAACTAGGATGATTTGTCACCCTACAGGGAGACTAATAATTCAAGTGAGAGACAGTGGTGTTTAGGATAAGGTGATAGTGATAGGAAGGAGGTTTGGAAAGCAAACCTAAAGATTTTGCTAATGGAGTGAAATTCGGTGTGAGAGAATAAAAGGAGTCAAGGATGACTTACAGGGTTTTGGCCCAAACAACTGGAAGGACAGAGTTGCCATTTACAGAGAGGAGGAAGGCTGGAGTAGGTTTCAGAGGATGGATGATCAGGAGCTTGTTGGACATGTAAATTTGAGATCACGTAACAGACTGGCAAGTAGGGTCATCAACTGGTCTGTTGGGTGAATGAGTCTAAAGTTTTGAGGAGCAGTCTGGGTTGGAGATACAAAGTTGTTATTGGTGTATATAGGTGTATATATATAGTTAAAGTTGTGAGTCTCTGGGGATGAGGGGTGGGGGGAAGTGAGGAGGGTATGGGGGGATAAATGGTGATGGACAGAGATTTGACTTGGGGTGGTAAACACACAATACAATGTACAGATGATGTGTTGTAGACTGTGCACCTGAAACCTGTATAATTTTGTTAACCAGTGTAAGCTGAATAAATTCAATAAAAAGGAAAAAAAAAAAAAGCTATGAGTGACTGAGATCCTGAGGGAATGAATGTAGATGGAGGGCTAAGGACTGAGCCCTAGGGCACGCTAACATTTAGTGATCAGGGAAAAGAAGAGAAAACAGCCAAGGAGACTGCAAAGCAGGAGCCAGGGAGGTAGGAGGAAAGCTGAGGGTTAAGTGGAACATGGAGAGAAGTCCGTGCTAAATAGTGCCCAAGTCACAAGCTGAGGGGGCCACAAAAAGGGACGCAATTAAATGGTGCCAAGAAGCTGAGCTGGGCCCAGGAGTAGTACAGGGAGGCTTAACTAGGGAAGGGCTTTTTAACTGGGCAGCCCATAAATGGATCAACTTGCCTCAGGAGGTGTGAGCAAGTAAGCCCCTAACCCGAGCAGGCCCAGGGGATGAGTTGCTGGGTGGGGAGATCTACCTCCAGGGCTCAAGCATCTGATGGGCTTTGTACCAGACACTTCTCAAAGCCCCTTCAAACCGGAGATGATGGGATTCTGGGAAGCCAACTGAAACAACCGTTTGCCACAGAGTACAGAGTGTGGGGGGTGAAGGATAAGCAGGCATTCAGTGGGGGACAGTGGGGAGGGGCCTCACAGGTGGAGGCAGTATGGGCAAAACTCCAGCGAAGTGAGTAAGCAGGCTCAGGTAAGGAGTCTGGCCTGATCAGAAGGGAAAGGTATGTGAAGGATGGGGAGGAAGGTGAAGCTGGATAGGATGTAGGGCCAGAAAGTGGGGATCTCCCACAGGACCTGGTGCCCAGTAAACGCCACTTGTTGAAGGAAAGTAATGAAACAAAAATGAGACTGTAAGAGCCAAGAAAGGAAGTATCAGTTACTTAGTTCCCTTGAGCAGGTTTTCTCCTCATGACTTGGTCACAAACATCTTGAGGGTAGGGCTGCCCAAAGCTGTGTGTGCTCCCTGCCCCAATTCCCACTGGGAACAGGTCTCCAACTGTTCCTTAAAGCCCAGCAACATAGATAAGGCCCTGAGGGACCTGCACCCTTTCCTGGGGCTGCTCTGTGGGTTAACCATAAGAGGTAGGGGGCAGACAATTCAGCGGCTAGGTTAGTCCCTGATAGAAGCAGAATTATACTATGACACATTAGATGGAGTCCCTATCAACCCAAGACTTCACAAGCACTGCCCCTAGAATGCTCAACGCTCACAACCCAGAGTGACCTCACCTTTAGGAAACAATGGGGCCTGGGCATTCCAAGGCCCCCTGTTGATTGGAGAGATGGGTAGGTGAGCTCCCTCTCTCCAGAGCCATAGGCAAGGTACCAAAGCTCAGCCTTATGGATTCCCAACCAAAGGACCTGAGCCTCCCTGGTGGTAAATTCCTGACCCTTGCTTCGTGCCCTTAGCTTGGGAGAACACCCAGGGAAGACCTTTTGCATGGATGCTGCAATGGCTGCCTGCATGGAGGAATGCTAAGGAGTTAGGCCATGGTTTCTTCCAGAATTCAAAAGGATTCCTTGAGGGCGGAGGGCTACTATGAATACCCTGGGATTATCACAACTGAATAGGTAGAATGGGATGGGACACTGGTGTCCCTGTCAACTGTTACTGTTAAACTTTTACTTCCTTGAAGAGCCTTGCTTTTAGTGAGGTTTCTCCATCTGGTGGATTGGATGGGTCCAGGATTGGGAACCAGAGGCTTGGCTAAGCCTGGACAGGTCATTCCCCCCTCCGACCTAGTTTTCCTAATCTATAAGGGGCTAGGGTGGCCTCTTAAGCTCCGTGGAAATCTAGTTTTGACTAAGAATGATGAAGTCAATGAGGAGGAAGGGGAAGAATGAAGCGAGTAGCTGAGTGGATGGCATGACTGATGAATGGGTTAAGAGGAATGAGAAACAGCTCAGGCCTCCAAGCTAGAGCTATCAGCCAGCTCGCCTGCTTTTCTTTCTTATTGCCTTAGTGTGGATCTCGCTGTACTTCGGATTCCTGGGGCTGTGTTCAGTGCTAACTGGTGGCTGCATTCTCTTTCTGCATTGGAGGAAGAACTTGCGGCGGGAAGCACGTGCCCAGGAGTGGGTGGAGGTGATGAGAGCTGCTACGTTCACCTATAGCCCACTGTTGTACTGGATTAACAAGCGAAGGCACTATGGCATGAATGCAGCCATCAACATGGGCCCTTCCCCTACTGTATCCAAGACTGAGACTGAGGGCCAGAATTCAGATCCTCTGTGGGAGCTGGACAGCCCTGAGAGGAGCTATGCTGCTCAACAGAGCAACCCCAAGGTGGAGGCTCCTGTCCCACTGCAACCTGCATTGCAGCTAGTCCCGCCATCTCCCCTACCTACCCCAATGCCTCGGTCCCAGAACAGCTCCCCACTCCCGATTCCCATCTTTCAGGAGGTGCCCTTTGCCCTCTCCCTGTGTAACCTACCACCAATGCTGAACCACTCTGTCTCCTACCCTCTGGCCGACTGTCCTGAAAGGAACATCCACTCCCATTCCCTCCCCACACTGGCCCATGGAGACCACTGCTTCAATGCCAAGCCTTTTGCTTCAGAATTGTAGCCTCCTCTCACTGAAGGTGGAAGCTGGAGCTATCTGGGCAGAGCTAACCTTGGAGGTGGTATTGACACAGGCTAGGGCCCATCTAGATGTCACATTATGAAACATTAAAAGAAGTCCCTGACTCCCTTGTGTCTCATTTGTTGTTAGAAGGGCAAAGTCCTTCCCCTGTTTGGAAGGGGACAATTTGCAAACCAAACTGAAGGTCACTGAGTATCACCAACACAAATGGGAATTGAAGGGTTGGCTATGAAAAGACACACTGAACCAGTACTTGCGATGGGCTCAACAGTCCTCTACCCAGTATTTACTTAAGACCAAAAATGTGTGCTTGACCCTGGGGTAGGCACCCAAAGGCACTGCCATTCTGTGGGACATTAAGCACAGCTGCCAAGTGATAGTTGTGGAGGGTGTGCGAGCTACAGTGATTCACAGTGGTCATGTCACAGGCAAAACAGGTCATTGAGATCCATGAGCCACATTGCACTGCTGGCTCATGTTCTTTGTCTCTATATTACTTGTAATAAAAAACACTGCCAATGACTCTCCACTTATAGATGAAGAGACAGTTCCCAAGGGCATCTGCCATACTGTTATGTTGCAAAGCAAGGTCTCAAATTTACATCTGCCTGGCTTCAAAGTTCCTGATCTTCTGACCATACACCGTGGTGTCCCTTCCCTAATGATGTCTTGTTAGAAAACACTTGGCAAATGACTTGTGTGTGTAGGGTATAATTAACTTGGTCCGTGGAGTGGCTTGGGGGAAGGGCTGGTCAGTGAAGCCCCTAAAATAATACATGAAATGTATCCAGTTTTAAAAAAAGATCTTTCTCAAAGGGATTTATTGCTCCTCCAAAAGGTAAGATCCACTATATAGTTTTTGTACCTTCTGGAAACGATCCTAAAAAGAGAGACAAGATAATACTATTTGGTTCCAGATTAAAGATAAGGAAGCTCTGGTCTTTCCCAGGATATAAATTTTGGTAAGATGCTCAAGTGAGCTAAGCTTTATGTAGTCATCCCTGAGGGGAAAGGCCATCCAGATTGTGTGTGTGTAATCCAGAATCTAGCAACCATGTAGAGCTAATTTTTCTATTTTTTTGTGCCAAAAAGCTCCAGCCCCTATATGACCACTCTCTTGCAATGGATTTCAAGCCTTTTTTTTTTTTTTTTTTTTAAGGCAGTGGAACATTTCTTATAAACATGCTCTTACACTGAATCTCGACATAGAAGACAGCTCTAAGTGGAGCTTCTGCAGTTGATACAGGAACAGGGGCTCGCTCATCTCTCTCTCTCCCCCTTCCCAACCTACAGACTCCAAAGCAGCAGCCTTCACTCCTTCAGGCCAAATTCTGTGTTTGTCAGAGTCTTCAACTGAACATTGTGCCCACAATCTGTCTTTGCTTTCAAGAGGAGCAAGGAGTCCATAAAACTAGGGATCAAAGCAGATACATACATACATATATATATTTATTTTTACTTAGTAATCAGGGTTGGGAGGGCCTTTAGTCATAGACACAGTGGGAGAAAAAGGAAATGTTTTATTGAGATAAATTAAGATGGTTGTATTACTGATACGAAATAAGCAAAGTTCAAATCGCCATGGAAACCTTGAAATCACTCTCCAAACAGAACCAAAACTGCTTATACATTACCAAAATAGCTCCACTAAAGCAAAGTTGATTGACATTTCTTAATGTGAGAAAACAACAAGGTAGGTTAGGTTCATATAACATACAATACATGCTCTATAAAGTCTCAGGAATTCCCAAATGTGTTCTGGTTTGGATATGAAAGGAGGGACCGCATCTTGCTGGTGTTGGGAAGCAAGCCAATGAGGTGTGTAGCAAACGAAAGCTGTCACTAAAAACAACTCAACAGCAGGCCATTACGAGTATGAGCCCATCACAGTCAGAATCTTTAACTGTGACCAGCAAGACCAGCGGGGACACTGAGTGTCCTGTCCAGCAACATAAGTGAGGAAACGCCAATGGGAGGGACAGGAGCCAGTAGGTGAAGAGTGTCCGTTCTTTAGCTTTACTGTTTGTGACACATTCCTAACTGCCAGGCCCCTCTCTGCCCTTAAGACAACACCACAGTCATGCCCAAGCTGGTTCTCTCTTCTTTTGGTTTTCTTCCTACAAAACCCTTTTGCCCTTTAAGTAAACATTGTACCAGACAGTACAAGACAAAAGAAAAAAAGGACCAAGCAGCACTGCTTTGGGTAACTTGGGAAAACAGCAGCAGGAGCTGCCAGAGTGAAAAGGGCAAAGTATACGAAACCAAAACCAAACTCACCACTACTATTGACCTCCCTGTCAGGGCTGAGATGTGGCAGGTGAGGCCTGATTAGAGTTAAGACAATTTACAAATAAAAATCCCAAATTAACACTGAACAATAGGCTTCTGAGGCTCTTCTTAGGCCAATGAAAAGGATTCAAGATGCCCTAGTTCTGCCTGGGAGACAGGGCACTTCCTCAGGCTGTGTGACAAGGGTATTCACAAATCTGAGAGTATAGCAGGGACACCTCTGCCAAACTGGACGGGGGGGAGGATGGTACTATAATCCTGGCTCAGGGATGATGCTAGCCAGACACACCTGAGGTAAGAACAGATGATAAACTAAAAAACAAAATGACTCCTCCACGGATAGCTATCCGATGCAAAAGAAAAGTACATACAACAAAGAGTTAAGGCGTCCTCAAAGTATCTGCCTATGAATAAGAATTTGAAACTAAAAAGGACAAGCTACATTACCCTCAAGTATATTTCATATAAATCAGTTCTCAAAAAAATACCTTCCAGGTACAGACATACTATTTATGGTACATTATATACAAATATAGCAGTATAATTCAATTTATTGCTAGAATGTTATTTGGTTGTTACAAAATCCGTCAGGGTTCATATATTAAAAAAGGGAGGGGGCATGGAAGGTAGCCCGAAGAGTAATCTTCAAGTTATCTAAAGTGCCAGGCTAATTATTTACTATATTTTAACCTTTCCAAGAAAGTGAAATAGCTTGGATGGGCAAGAAAAAAATATTTTTAAAGAGAGAAAAGCATAAGCCATATGTGATAAGCAGACACATTCATGGGAAAAAACTTCACCTTGCTTTAACTAACTTTTAACATTTCTAAAAAAAAAAAAAAAAAAAAAATCAAGGTTAGCCTACACCAAGCTAAATATCATATAAAGAAAATACCAAAACAAAACCAGCCCTTAAATAGTTAAGGATGTTTGGCTGCATCTATGGCTAACTGGGCAACTTGTACAAAGTTAAAGTGGAAAAAATTAAAGTGGAAATGAGCTCCACTAAAGAAGTTAGTCCACGAAAGCTTCTCTAGTTTCTCCCTGACTTGGCCTACAGCACAGTTAAGTTTTGCAAAGTTTTTTCCTTTTGTGTTGTTCAAAGATTCCTTCTAAGAACAATGCAGCACACACAGGTGACATGGAGGTAAAACTCCTTCCAGTCCACGGTCCTTTAGTACCAGGCTACAGAGTGTTTCAAGGGGAAAGTATTACACTTGCTTGTATTAGATTTGAAAACACTTGCTACCATCACGTGAAGCCCAATGTTCCAGGCCTGTTTGCTACTGTTCGGCATTTTCTGGACATAAAGCTTCCTGCTGCTTCTGACCTGATAATTATGAAGAAACCCAGTATGTTCACAACCTATTTGGCTTTAGCCCCCAGAGGAACATATTAGGTTCTTGGTTAGTGCCCACGTAAAATCTCAGTTTCCTAGGTCAGAATTAGAGGTATAGCTCTCCCTTAAAGCTCCTGGGCAGCTAGGCTGAGACAGTGGCCAAGGGACTTCAGCCCTGCCATTCAGAATGGATGTAATATCGGAGGTGGAAGTCAGCCACAGCTTTTAGACGTGTGCTCACGCGCACGCATGTGAATCCTGCTCACTCCGGGAGAAAAATGTAGCTCCCCACTTTATATTCATAACTTTATATTCATAAACCCTGAAATAGAATAGAAAATAATAAAAATGCCCAAGAAAACTTCTCTGGTTCACAGGTTGGGATTAGCTAAGGGGACAGAAACAAAGAGCCAAATCTTACTTTCCTGAGCCTGGAGGCTACGCTGTCCCCAGTGTCTACTCCCTAAATATATTCCTCTGGCCACCAGACCAAACCCCATGGCAGCACCTAAAAGAGATGCCTGAAGGAGACATGGACCTTGTTTCAGCCGCCACCAGATCAAATTAGCGACTTTTAATAAGTCATTTGTTCACATCCTATTTCACACCATTCCTCCTACTTCCCACAAAATATGCAGAACTCTCTCATTTCAAATATTTACAAACAGAAAAAGTCTATCTTTAAAGGAAAGACATTTTCTGAGTCTGTATAAAGTGCAGTTAATTTAAGGCAAATTTATGCAAAATATAAAAGGTGGCTTATTCTCACTATATACACATTTTCCAGTTTTAAAAGGTCTCCTTCCCTCAAAAAAGGAAAAGAGAAAAAAAGGGGGCTTGACTTTTATTCTGGCAATTTTAGAATTAAGATCTTACTGGTTTCAGGAAATCATAGATTTCTGATCTTCTTTTTAAAAAAATAACTTTTATATAGCTTTTTCAAACAAGTTAAAAGGTGGCAATGTGTCTGTTACAATAGTTTGGAAAACTGACAGGTAAATAGAAGGGTTTTTTTTGTTAGGTGAGTAGATATCAGGTAGCCCAGGATATATATCCGTTTCTAAATATGCCCAATGAGGCTAGACACCTACAGCTACTCTTAGCTCCAGGAATGAGTATCTTCCATCTCCATCAGCATCAAACACTCTCAAACTCTCTGGTGCTGGTATAGCAGAACCTAAGGAGTTCTTAATTTCCTGGTAGGTCAGCTTCTCATCCATGTTCTGGCCAGTCTTGTGGAATAAATCCTGAAGATCTGTTAAAAAAAATTGCAAAAAGTGTATATGTCTATATACATATAGCTAAGTTTAGTTAACAGTTTAAAAAGTAGCCTCAATTGAATTAAAGCTAAATTATAAAAAGAAAGCTACTTTGCAGACTCTGATTCTAAAAGGTAAAGGTTAGGATATGGCTAAATCAGAAAGACAAATTCCTGATCCTTTAAGAATGAGAGGACAGCACTGACCTCCCAAAACAGAAGCAGTGATAGGTAATCACAGGATAATGAGTAGACTGTCTTTCTCTGTCCAGGGCCTTCCTTTTAGATTTTTCAGATTTTATTCTTATGTTGAAGGGGTGAAAAGGACTGCAGAAGCTTAAAGAGCTAACTGATAGGAGCTGAGCTTGTAAAACAGACTCTGGCATATTGTCAGTTAAAGAGTTACCATGTGACCCAGGAATTACATTCCTAGGTATATACTCAAAAGAAATGAAAACATCTGTCCACACAAAAACTTGTATACAAATGTTCAAATCTGCATTATTTCTAAGAGCCAAAAAGTAGAAACAACCCAAATGTCCATCAACTGATGAACGGATATACAAAATGTATCCATACAATGGAATATTATTCAGCCATGAAAAGCAATGAAATACTGTTACATGCTACAACATGGATGGACCTTAATAGCATTATGCTAAATCAAAGGAACATATTGAAAGAAAGAAGCGTATATAAGGTCATATATTGTATGATTCCATTTATATGAAATACACAGAATAGGCAAATCCAAAAAGACAGTGGTTGAGAGATTAGTGGTTGTCAGTGGCTGGTGGAAGGGGAATAGGGAATGACTATTTAATGGGTATAGGGTTTCTTTTTGGGATGATAAAATGTTCTAGAATTAGATAGTGTGATGGTTGCACAAACTTGTGAATATACTAAAAACCACTGAATTATACATTTTAAAAGAGTAAATAATATAGTATGTGAATTATATCTCAATTAAAAACAACCAGAGGACTATACAGGGTAGGGCAAAAGTAGGTTTACAGTTGTTTGTATTGCAAATACAATAATTAATAAATAATAATACAAGAATAAACTCTGTTTCGTGTACTCACAACTATAAACCTATTTTTGCCCCACTCTGTATCTCTTCAAAGCTATATCTACTATATATACTGTACATGATGTCAGGCACTTGTGCTCACTAGTGCTCCCTCTCCCTC